GATGATTTATTTTTCTTTGCCTTTTTGTTCATCGGACAGTCCGATTTGTAGTGACCGGGCTTCCCGCACTTGTAGCACGACCCTATAGTCTTTTTACCTTTCGAGTCATCATCTTTGGAGTACCACGATTGTTTCCGGAAGTTTACCAAGTTCTTCTTGGAATGTTGGATGCCGTTCTTTCTAACGTAACGGTTGTAACGTTTAACGAACAGCCTCATATCTTCGCTCCTGTCCTCTTCTTCTTCGTCGCTTGAGGAATAATCACTTTGCTCTTTTGCTTGAGACTTCGAGGAGGAAGTCTTAAGAGTTATCGATTTCTTTTCACTCACCTTCGTTTTGTCTTTCTTTTCCATCTTTTCGCGTTGGTCTAGACTCAAGAGTACCTGTTCATGCTCTTGAAGTTTGCCAAGCAATGTTGTCAAGTCTAATATGGTAAGATTATTTGCTTCTTTGATGGCGGTCACTTTCGACTGCCATTCTCTGTTAAGACATCTCAAAACCTTATTAGTAGCAACATCATTGGGAATAGGCCTACCTAATGAATGTAAACGATTGATGAGATGAGTAAATCTCTTTTGCGTGTCCGCAATGGTTTCCCCTTGCTCCATGAAAAAGAGATCAAAATCTTGTGTTAATGTGTTGATTCTAGCCAACTTAACATTGTTCGTCCCCTCATGGGTGATTTGTAGTGAATCTCACATGGCCTTAGCAGTAGGACAATGGGATACACGATAGTATTCATCTACATCTAATGAGGAGATTAAGATATTTTTGGCTTTCCAATCATAATTGTATTTTTTCTCATCGTCATCCGTCCATTGTGCTTCAGGCTTTGGCACAACTACATTATCCTCATTGGTCATAGTAATTTCTATTGGACCATTGAGGATAACGTTCCATATTTTTCTATCTATGGAGTTTATGTGAACCCGCATACAGTCTTTCCAATAACTATAATTTTCACTGTTGAAAACGGGAGCTCTATTGTACGCCCCTTTTGGTTCGTTAGCCATTTTCTATCAATGTTGTATTTGAAGCACCGAGTAACCGGAGCTCTAGATACCACTTGTTAGACTATGGCACGGATCTAGAAGGGGGGGAGGGGTTAATAGATCCCAATTAAAATTTGAGTCGGCGCTACCAATTTAAAAATTGGTTTTGAAAATTTGTTTTAAGTGCGGAAGCGGCCGAGGAAAATATAGTCTAAAACGAACGGTTATTGGAAAACCGGATATGCGATAAGCCTTTGGATTAATGACAATATGGAAACGAGAATCACAACACTAATCACACTTATCAATGATCTAATTCACTTGTTAGGATTCCTAGTTCCAATGATTTAAAGAGCAAACCAAAACTAGATACTCAAGTAAGGTAATTTTGGTTTAGGCAATTTGTCAAACACTTGGTGTGCAAAAACACTCCAAGTGATATTTATGTTGAGTAAGTGATTCCGACTAGCCTAGTACAATGTCTTGTTGTACTTTGGATTCAAAAACAGAGTTTTAACCTCTTACTCAATTGATATCACAGTTTGACAACAGTGCTTATACAAAAATCACTTATTTTTAAGCTAAAACGAAAATGCTGAAAAATAGAGAAGACAAGTATTTGGTGAGGCAGTTCCCCCGTCGTCCTCGCTTCGGGGTACGTCTTCCCTCAATTCTAAAACTAGAATTGAGATAGATTTAATAGATATCACCTGTTGAATGTAACAGTTTATACAAGGATTGAACAACAAATATACAACAAAAATCTCAAGACTTGAATGTTGTTTTCACTCCTTGCCCCTTGATTCAAGATGAATCAAGTCCTCCGATTTGTTGTTGATAGACCTCCGATTCCAGCCACCTTAATGAACAATCCTCAGTTATTCAAACCTTCGGCCCAGCTGATCTCAACTACAAAGAATCGAACCCGAGATCTTCCCTTCAATATCACCGAATCCGCTACTAGACTGTTGAAGAACACCTCTTCACAATCACCTTCGCTCAGTTGACCCTTGATGAAGAATCTCGTCCAAGAACCCCCAAAATTCAAACCAATCTTGGAGGATAAAACCCTAACGGTTTTATTCAAGAAAGAACCTGTCACAAGCTTCAACCCGAACTAGATTACCCAATCTAAGCTTCGAACCTTATCACCTTTAATCATTCACAATGCACTTTAAAAATGGCTGTGTGTAATTGATGTGTTGTGAGATGTTGAAGATGAAGATGAAGAATCTTGGACATCTATTTCACTCTTTCTTATTCTTGAACATATGAATCAGTTTTTATCAAATGTTGTTGTGTTAAAATGAACAAACTTCTATTTATAGTAATAAGCAAATCAACCAACAAAACAGATTTTCAAACAGATTGGAAATACTGCACTGACTGTGTCAACGCGCGAACAGTCGACCATAGGTCGGCGTGCGCTGACCCGTGTGAAATGCCAAGGCTCTATGTGCTGACTTATGGTCGACTCATGGTTGCTGTGTGCTGACTGTATGGTCGACTCATGGTTGTTGTGTGCTAACTGTATGGTCGACTCATGGTTGCTGTGTGCTGACTGTATGGTCGACTCATGGTTGCTGTGTGCTGACTGTATGGTCGACTCATGGTTGCTGTGTGCTGACCAGTGGGAAATGAACTGATCTATGCGCTGACTGTATGGTCGACTCATGGTTGTCATGTGCTGACCAGTGGGAAATGACTTGATCCATGAGCTGACTGTATGGTCGATTTATAGCTCCAAAATATGAAAAAATTGACATGTTTGCTGTTTCGTGCATCTTGTCACGACTATACATCAATTAATTATATTGTAATGAAATATGATGATTTAAAAGGATATAGGAAGGATGTAATATGTTAAGTATTGCATGACGACTCCGATTCATCCGAGGTTGTACTTTGTCATCATCGAAACTTGAGAACCTATGTTGTGAGACAGTTTGCCCTCACAGCTTCTACCTCCTTTACTTTATTGGTCTTCACAGTATGACTCTTTTTCTTGGATTCATGTTCCCCAAATTCATCTTTTACGCCATCCTCAGATCTTTCCCACGCGCCATCATCATCTTCCGTGTCTGAAACTTCAAATTCACTAACCACATCTTTTTTCTTTCTTACAACTATCCATTTAGGTCCATGGAAGTCTTCGACGAGTTTGATTCTGTAGACCTTTCCGTTAATTTCCGCATCAATTACTTCGTTCAGATTTATGGAGAACTTCGTCTTAATCAAAATTCTTGCAATATCCAGATTATCCTGCCTTTCAGTTTTAGCGTCGCAACACACGAATTATCCAACACGCCCTGAAACAAATTTGAAGAAACGTTCACCCCAAACGTGACATGGAAGGCCGAAGAATTTCATCCAGGTCAATCTTTCACCATCTACATCATTTACAGACCAAGGGTGAATATCCTCAAACCATGATTTGAACCAAACTTCATTCACTTGTATCAGCATCTTGACATCACCCGACTCGAGATCTTCAAGGAGGCAAAGATTGACCCCCACTAGGGTAGCTTTAATGCTAAAAAACTTCAGAATTTAGGGCTTCTTGTATACCATATGTAAACACAGTTTTTTTCACCACACCCACATAAGCCGTATCAAACCTTTCCATTTTCGAATGTGGCACATTAAATTGAAGATGAGCAATCTTATATATAGTCTTGAACCTTCTCTTTATTCACAAAACTAAGAGATACGAGACTTATTCAACATATATATTTTCAAGTAATTCTAACAACGGTATTTCCGTCTATCTTAAATTCACCTAAAAATATCAACTTACTAGATAGAACTTGAATTAAAATTCACTATAAATAGGGGGCACACCCTCCAAATACGATCATGTATAATATCTATTTGTATATACTTCATATTATTTTATCTTCAGAGTTTCTTTGCAGATACATATTCTTCTTTCACTTGAAAAAGAAAAATGTACGAAAAGAAGACAAATAGATCAAAGCACCACACATAAAAATCATTTCTATTATCGTGAAGGCTACATCACTAACTCTAACTTTAGTGATCAAAATTGAAATTTTACAAATAAATTTATATATTGAAAATGAGCAATGCTATTCTTATAGAGTATATACCAATTATTAATATACGATCAATAATATTTTTATTTTTTTATAAGTAAAAAAATAATATTTATAACAAAAATTTGTTTTCAAATTTATTTTTATAACACATATAAAATTTGAAATTAACCAATTTTATTATTGCATAAACCACATATTTTACTTATAATTTATTAATCAAGTTTACTATTTCATTAACCAATAAAATACATAATATTAACAAAATTTTGACATTAAAATATAAAATATAATAACCAAATTTTAAACTCTATTAATTAAATCTTGATATTAAATTATAAAATTTATAAAATAAAGCAAATAAGATAGATCAATAGAATATAAATACTAGTTATTATATTTATGTCAGAATTTAATATTATGTAATTTATTGGTTATTGAAGTAGTAATTTGATTAATAATTTTATAAGTAAACTATGTGTTAATAACATATGTTTTTGTGATTAATTCAATAATAAAATTAATTAAAAATATGTGGTTAAAAATATATTTTTTACTGATAAAAATAAAATAAAAACACTGTCTATCGTATAAACATAGTAAAAAGTGTATAAAGTAAGTAATAAAAATAAGAATTTGTTTATCGTATAAATACGGTATAAAATATATTGTATAAAATAATGAATATAAAAATTTATATAAGAATAACATTATTCACTCAAAATTCTCAATTTTGGGTGGCATGATGCTAATCAAAATGATGATGACGAATGTGTAATGACATATGTAAATCCCACCAAAGAAATAATAAATTAAAAAATATTTAGGAAGGAATATATGTTTGTCTTCCCCTCTTTAGAAGGTTAATTCCTCTCTATATATTGAATAATATCTTAGCCATCCCAGCATATTTCCAAAGATCTAATATATAAATTTACAAATTAGAGTCATAATGTTGTTTAATTTTCATCAACTGTGGAAGCCAGTTTTGGTTATGATTATAGTGAACATAGCTTTATCCATTGTCAATGTATTTTTGAAGAAAGTTTTAATGGAAGGAATGGATCATTTAACTATTTTAACATATCGACAAGCAATTGCATCCATTTTCTTAGCACCTATTGCTTGCATCTTTGAAAGGTGCCATATTTTTAATTAAATGTTCTTAGTTATTTTTATTTTTGTTTTTAATGATTTTATATTTTTCAGGGAAAGCAAGATTGATGGCCATATAATATGTCTCCTTTTCTTTAGTGCTCTTGTAGGGTAAGTACTCTTCTAATCGATTGTTAGGTAAGCATTGATATTAATTATTTGAAGTAGTGATTATGATTTTATTGAATTTATTTCAGAGTAACACTCACACAATGTCTCTATCTTGTGGGACTTGAATATACATCAGCAACTTTCTCATGTGCATTTCTCAATACAGTGCCTGTATTCACATTCATTATGGCTCTCCCTTTGGGGTAAGATAAATTATGCTTTATTTAATTACCAAGATAAAATATGGAAAGATAAATATATGATCAAACTAGATAATATTATAAAACTTTTTTTTAATATATCTTTAGAATTTTAAAGATGAATAAGTAAAATTATGCGCATTCGAATCTACACTCCTGTATTTTATATTTTATTATTATTATTAATTGAACTGGTTTAATCAAACGGTAATTTATAATGGCTATTCTAAAATTTATCAATGTTATAGAATTTATTTTTATTATATGTTAGAAAGTGACAAAAGTACCAATGTTTTTAATTCTATTTATTTATTTATTTCAATTAAAATATTAGCAATTAATGTGACATTTTTTTTGTATTATTTTAAATCTTTTAAATTTTATTAGTTGCTGATTTTACACTAATTACATTTAAACTTTTAAAATCATGAAAAAATTAATCTGGTGCCGTAATTACATTTAAAAATTAAAATTTAAAATAATTGTTAACTTTATTATTTTATCAAATTCTACACTATCGTTTTAAAAAACAGTTTTCTAAAATAATGTAAAATTATGAAAATATTGTTACCACAAAGCTACATATGATATTTTTAATAAATTTAAAAGAATATTTAATCATAATTTTAGTTCCCAGAAACAAAATTAGTCCTTATCTTTTGTAAAAACTGATGTTGTTAATCCAATAATTCCTAGAGAGACAAAAGGCATCCACTATTACAAAAAATATCAACTAAATAATAATATTTTATAAAACATCAACGAGTATGATTTTAAATTGCAGTTCACAACTGTAATTGCACTCGTAATATTGCAGATGCGATTGTCTGTACAACTGCATCTGATTGTAATTGCGGTGTAATTTTAAAATTACGTATTTAATTATATTTGAAACTACATCAGACAATTTGTATTTTTATGTATTTTCATCAAAAATTAAAATATTAGAATCTTAAAACTCAATTTAATGTAATGAAAAAATTTAATATTTAGTGTTTTTTAACATTATATTTCAAACATCTCTCTATAAATATTCACACCGTAAAGATCGTAATGGGCATCGCAACACCCGCAATGACCGCAACTGCAACACCCGCAGCACTATTCGCAACCGCAACACCCACAACACTATTCGCAATTGCAATTTAAAACCATGGCAGAGACTAAAATTTGATAGGCAAAAATATCCAAAATAAAATAAATATTTATAGTGAATAAAAATTATTATTGTTTATAGAAAATTACATTTATTTTCGTAACTAATATTAAGTCTTTGGCTTGAAATTCTTAGGATGGAGAAAGTGAGCATGAAAAGCAAGAGTGGCAAAGCTAAAGTGTTAGGAACTTTTGTGTGTATTGGTGGAGCTTTGATATTGATCCTTTACAAAGGAATGCCCTTAATCAACCCACAATCTCATCCCATATCTCACAAACTCACAACACCAACATCAGCCTCAAATTTAAAGAAATCGATTATAGGTTCAATATTTCTGACTGCAAGCTGCATCTTCTTTTCCTCATGGTTTCTTATACAAGAAAAGGTTGGTAAAAAGTATCCATATCAATACTCTAGCACAGCCATTTTGTCATTCTTTGCTACCATTCAATCCGCAATATTAAACTTGATCATCCATCGAAACAACGCCAAATGGATTCTCAAAGGAAAGCTACAGATAATGACTGTTATATATTCCGTAAGAATATCAATCCTCGTTACAAAACACATCATTGTGAAAGTTTATGCATTTGGACTCATGTTTGCTTTCATAGGGGTTGGTGGGATCTGGCTTATGCTATGCGGCAATGGCATGGTGTGTCAAACAAAAGGGTCCGGTATTCACTGCAGCATTTACACCACTTTTACAGATGTTGGTGGCTGTGCTTGATCTTTGTATATTACAAGAGGAAATTTATCTAGGAAGGTTATATATAGTTCTAGCTATCACTCTTATTTTTTTCACTTGTTAAAGTGCATTTTGTCTAATACCTTCGTATCTGCGATAACCAGTGTTGTAGGATCAGTGTTGGTTATTTCTGGCATGTATATGCTCCTATGGGGTAAAAGTAAAGAGAGAGAACAGTCTGGCTTGAAGGACGTTCAAGAAAGTCAAAAGGATGAAGAATGTCACTAACAATACCACCAACATTCACAATAGCAACGAAATTGCAATTTTTTTAGTGACGCCTAAAAGCGCATCCATAGTTGTAAAAGTTGGATTGATTGAATGCTATAAATAAGTTTACATCAAGCTGGTAAAAATATAAGTGTATGTATGCACAAAAGAGCACTTTAGTTACATGAGGCCATTAAAGCTTATGAGTAAGTAAAACCCAAAAAAGGTATCATAACGAACAATTCACAAATATTTACTAAGACCTTACAGTTCATTAATACACTTATTTCGTTCTTCTGGAAGAGAGATATCAAGGTCTGATTGAAGTGCCATTAAATCCGAATGAAGTGCCATTATAACTTGAACAAATCATAATATTTTATCAACGAATCCGTACTTGAATAAATTTTTAGTAGGTCTCTAATAGCATGCAAAAATTATCATTGTCAGGTACTCACTCTTGTTTTTGACCATCAGTTGCAGCTATGTATTTAACAGAATTCCTATTCCTATTCAATCGACCTAAGTGAAATTCAGCGTTATTATAGTGCGTTGATTCAAATTCCACTACTATAGGTATCCTATCCCTATTCAACCAGCGTAAGTAGATTAATTTCCTTAGTTCATACGCATAGGTTAAGAGTTAGTATTCCCTATACGTCCAATACCATATTAATAGTATATCACAAATAATATACATTACACACAAGAGACAATTAAATAAAAGTATAACTTATGTTATTCATATAATATATAATTAAACATATATCCTAACAGGTTCAATACAAGTTCATCTCATAAAATCTAATCTAGATTAAATTAACTAAAAGTTCCAACAGAAAACAAAATGCATACCCTTAAAGGTGAGATAATACTTAGAAAGGGGGGGGGGGGGGGGGGGTGAATAAGTATGATAAATTAAGACTTAAAAAATAATCACACAATTATTTTTATCCTGGTTCGTTTAACAACTACTCCAGTCCACCCTTCATAGAGTGATTTGCCTTTCTCAACAAGGACTTAATCCACTATTAAATCAAACTGATTACAATAGTATCACCTAAGAACAACAGTTCTTAGTCTTCTTAAGAGCTACTGATTCCAACTGAATCCTCTTAAGGAATAACCTTTACAATCAATGTAAATTAAATACAAGAGTTTTAATGCTTCTATAAAGCTTTTATCACAACAGTGATTTTTCTCTTAAGTTTAAGTACAATAAGATTCTAAGAAGAATAAGAATGAATGAGAGCTTTAGAATATAATGATTTCTTTTCAGCAAATTGTGTCACTGAAGAATGTAGTGAAGTTCTCCTTTTATAGGCAGCTGATCCAAGCAAGCTGAACGTTGAAAAGAGAGTCCCAAAAAAGGTCTGAGCCTTTTTTTGTCTTCACATCAAGTGACCTTTCCTAGAAGTAGATGGCACAGAAAAATCCTTTTTGTCTGTGTAAGTGTGTCTAGCACAAATGAGGAAAGAGACGTTGAATAGCTCCAACGGATATATTCTTGAAAATTGCTTCTTCAGTTTTCAGCAAGTTCTTCAGAGTCTGAATGGATCAGAGTCTTCTAATGAGAATCAGAACTATGCTGTATCAGAGTCTTCTGCAGCATGTGTGCTTTCAGCGTGTTGATCATCAGAGCATATTTGACACAGAGCTTCAGTACTAGGCAGCGTAGGTACTTTCAGAAACTTCTGTAGACTTATGCTTTGAGAAACTCTTCAATCAATATTCTTCTATGCTTCAGATGCTTCAACTTCAGATGCTTCAGCTTCAGATGCTTCTGATTATCTTCAGATGCTTCTGACTCAGAATGTTCTGGAGCTTCTTGCTTCAGATCCTTCTGGAGACTACGCTCAGGATCTTCTGTAAGGAGCAAACAGATTCTTCTGTAAGGTGCATCTGGCGCTTCAGAGTCAGAATAACTTCTTGTATTCAAAACAGATTTGCTTCTAGAGAGTTAATATTATTTCAATCTGCAGTAAAACTCTCAAACAAATTTTAGAGTATATAATTCTTAAATATAAATTTCCTAACAGTTATCATCAAAACAAAGAGTTATTATTAAGAACCAATCTGTGTTCTAACAATCTCCCCCTTTTTGATGATGACAAAAAGTATCAGAAATTTTATTTAACTGAACATAAAGAATTATAACTCCCCCTAAGATGATGAATCTCCCCCTGAGTTAAATATGAAAAAGGAATAGAAACTTCCCTTTTTATCTTAAGTAATCTTCAGAGTCAGATCTTGATTGTTCTTATAACAATTTAGGGTCAGAATATCTTGCAGATAAAAGATTCAGAGTTTGATAAAAAATCAAATGATCTGAGAAACTCAGAGATTCTTTTATAGAGTGTTCTTATCAAATGTTCTGAAATGGTCAATTTAAATATTAGATAGAATAGATATGTCTGAAGATTCATTCTAGTGAAGTTATATTAAACAGTTCAGATCTTTATTTTCTCCCCCTTTTTTGTCATAAGCAAAAAGTAAAAACTTTTAATAAAGACAAATAAAAGGAACAATAAACAGATAATTCAATGGAGAAAACTGATTCATTTAACAAAACAGAGCAATAGTACATTGGTAAATACCAGAAGATATAACAATAAAATTCAGATGCAAAACAACAGATGCACAAACATTAGAATGAAAAAAAATCTAAGAGTGTTTTGACAAAAGCATCTTCAATAGGTCTGTAATCTCAGATGAAGATTGCTCTTGCTTTGACATCCACTTGGTCATTGTCTCATTCTTCTCATCTTGTTTTGACATCCACTCTGTCATGTCCTCAGATTTCTTGTCTTGCTTCGCCATCCAAGACTTTATTTCAGATTGACCAGCCTCCAGAGCAGCAATCTTGTCTCCAAAATCTGGATGTTCTGTCTTTATCTCTGATGAAGAAGGTGGAGGTTCTGCAGCCTGAACAGAGTCAATTGCCATAGGTTCTGGAGATCCTGAAGAGGGTTCTACCAGAGTCATAGTCAATGCATTGGCAGTTGGTTCTGTTGGAGGAGGAGGAGCATCCAAATAAAGTAGAGGTTCAGTCTTGTTGACAATCCAGAATTGAGTTCTTTCAGCTCTGAGCTTTGCATCATCAGAACAGATGTTCTTCAGATTAGAAGCTACATTGTTGAATCTATTGAGAAATCCTTTCCAGATGATGTCAGTTTCATTTGCATCCATAGTTTCAGAGCATCTCTTCTGAACAGTACCTAAAGACATCTGTATTTCTTGCAAAAACGTTTGAAATAAATGATCAATATTAAGTCAGGGTGGTGGTTTAAGCAAGGTTTCCAGAGTCATATGTTTAGGTTTGGGAGTTGGTGGTATCAGGGATTTTGGGATGGAAATCAGAGGAGGGGGATAATATGGAATGAAAGGAATTTCTGGTTTTTGAGGTAAGGATCTGTTTAAAGCATTAAGCAGATTAGGTTGTGGTCTTGTGCGTGGGTAAACAATATCAAAGGGTTTATTAGAGTATGGTATGAAAGCAGAGGTTGATGGTTTATCAGATGCAACTGTGTTATCAGATGCAGGTTGCAGAGCTGAAACAACAACTTTACCAGATGTAGCAGATATTGTTGCTAAGGATCCTTCATTTTTCATAGATTGAATATATGAAAGGATTACAGATGGAAGAGCCTATCTGAGTTTTGGTTTCAGAGGTTTCAGGGGTTCAGAAGGTTCAACTCTATCATAAAAATCTTTCAGTTTGAAACCATAAGATAAATTATGATAAAGAGAAGACACTTGGGCACAAGATATACCAGATGATGATGGATTAGAAGTGGTAACAATCATCTCAGATGATGGTGCAGGTGGAGGCAAAGGGTCTGAAATGGGAATTTTAGCAGGTATGGTTGATTCAGGTTCAGGTTCATGAACAGGGTATTTGTCAGATGGAGAAATTAGAAAATCTGGATGAATTTCTGATTTTGATGAATTGGAGGATGTTGTAGGTGTACAAGAGGTAGAAGAGACTTGAAACACTGTTTTTAATGGAGTGATATCAAGAACTTCTGTCTCAGGGATATGAGAAGGTTCTGAAGGAATATCAGATTGTTTGGATGGTGGTTCTGATGAAACAGGAGCAGAAGTTACTTTTGCGGGCTCAGAAGTAACAGGTGCAACAGGTTCAGAAGATGGAATGTTTGATGGTGGTATTACAGAGTCTTTTTCTGGTTGAACTTCTGTGGTTTGGTTTTCTGTTTGTGGTTGATCAGAGTTTTGTTTTTCAGATTGTTGTTGTTGTTTTGATGGTTGTGGTTCTGATGGTTGTGGTTCTGTTGGTTGTGGTTCTGTTGGTTGTGGACGTGGAATGAAGTGTTTGATGTGTATTTTGGGTTGAGGTGTTTTTGATACAGAAGCAGTGTTTTGTTTTTGAGGTGAGACAGAACTAGGGGCAGCAACAGAAGTTGTTTGAGTAACAGGTGGTTTGGGAACAGACTTAATAGTTGAATCATTAATAACAACATTTTTAGAAATAACAGAAGTCTTAGTACCTTTGAGTTTAATCCTCTTGGCATATGCAGAGGCAGCTTCCTCAGAATCCTTCCTCTTTAAGAGATTCTTGGGTTTCTCAGCAATCTTAGCCTTCTTCTGGACAGGTTCAGATTCTGCTGCAGGCTGAGTCCTTTTCCTCTGAAGTGGTACTTCTTCTTCTTCTCCTGCATCTGGTAGTGGTTGTTTGACAAGCTGAAATACATTTGCTGGAACAGGTACTCCTTCCCTTTTGCATTCCTCTATATACATCAGTACTATATGTCTGGGTTCTTCAGCAAAGAATAGAGGAAAATCAGATACTGGAACCCTCTTATTCAAATCAGACATATTCAGCCTCTTTGGAGCAGTAGTGAGTTCATCTACAATCTTGAGTCTCAGAAGACTTTTAGCGTTCAGAGGCTTTCCCATAATGAACTCTAATTCCTCTGTAACCCCAGCATCATACAGAGCAGCCACTAAACCATTTTCAGTGAGAAGATCTGAGATCAACCTTCCAAAAGGGATCCAAG